CTATGTATCTCAAAAAACGTTCCATTAATAGCTCGTTAAAACAAATTAATGCCTCGGGGACGCTTTACGCCTAAAGGTTGTTCTCGAAAGTAGTAAAAAAAAATGTATTTTAATCTTTGTATACTTTAACAGGGTAACTTTAGAACGCGATGGCAATGGCTAAAAATAATATATCCTTGAGGCGAAAACCATTTCCAAACAGGAATCCGCCATTTTGTCCCTTGAGAACAATAGCATCAAGGACCAAATCTGATTAGGAATGATAACCTTAACATATAAAAGTCGCCTAGTTGCGATTCTACATGCTTGGAAGGAAAAACATGTTTTCGAATTTATTCCATGGGGAGAAGTGCTCGGCTAAACAGACGACTGGAAACTTCGACATCATCTTAAAAATATATAGAGCAATACGAAGAACGCTGCTTAATAGGTGCACGTTATAGGAATTTCTTTGAATGATTTTTGTGTACCTCTTTATGAACGCGCATAAAATCAATGACATTTCTGTTATAAAAAAAAAATGCAAGAAACACAGGAATAATTGTTTTTCTAGACACTACTAAGCTGTCTACGCCAAGTGCGTAATATTCATCATATTTGTGGGGTAACAAACGAATAGGACACTGTTGTCTTCCGCAGCTTAAACGTGGGTGATGAATGTAAAGAAGGTGCTGTTTCTTTCTTTTTTATGACACATCTAAGCGGATTCTTAAGAATGCGATTTAAATTCGTTTTAGATCACCGAAGCATAAGAAGAAGCCAACTTTATAAAGTAGCTTTTCGCTTTATAACGTGAACTTACTTCATAAACTATTTCCTGTTAAAGCAGTTCTCAGGATTCCCTACAAGGTACCGTTCCTGCGTGAAGCATAGAGCTTTCAGGAAACAAGCGTATTGTGTACGCGTGTTGGCGAGAAGGCGTTTCAACTTGAATAGAGCTGTCTTGCTCACTGGCACATCTCTCACTTACCGCTGCTGTCACGTTTTTTACATGAGTCGATCCCTAATTGCGTGTTTCCTGCTTCATCGTCTTTATTGAAGCTATTATAGCATACTCTAGAAATGATGAAACCAAAAGCATTCCAAAAGGTGGTTAGAAAGGCGACAGGCGCGGAAAAATTTCAGTACAAAAAAAAAGAGCCTAATTCTATAAGTTCACTTCACTATCCGCTGTTACCGCATAAACTGTTACACATGAGGCTGCATATAGGGCATCTATTTAACAAATGCACGTCTGTTTAAGTGCGTTGTTGCAATAGCTATAAACAGACCAAGAAGTTTACAACTACGTTAGTTCAAATGTAAGCGTCGGCAAAAAAATATTACCAAAAATTAAAAAACAAGCATAAAAAACAATACAAACAAAATAAAAACTGGATAACTGCCTGCTTATATAGCTGCCTTGCCGTTTCATAAATCTATTGAAGAAAACTTGGGTAAATCTGCCACTGGAAACTTAGCTCTTTTTCTAGTTAGATACATTTTTTAATAGGACATCAAAATTATTCTGAGGAGGTGTTTTCGCAAGAGGTGGTCGGATAGCGAATACAATATTGAACGAATATTTAAAATTAGACTAGATTTTCTAAGCTCAGCTTGACAATCAGATTCAGGTACATGAACAAAACCACTTAACGTTGCTATACGTTTATTGTAATTGAGGCGGACGAGTTCTCTCGGAGCTTGCAGTGTTTGACGTGTCAATATGCCTGATATTTCTAAATATTCCGATTTTGGGTCACTGCCTGCTGTTAAACGTAACCGTCAGACGGATTCTCTGTAGCTTCGGAACTAAATGCTGAAGGTACAAACAATATGGTATTCTGGCTTGCATCATTGGAGTGTAGTCGTTAAATTTTTTAGACTAGGCAAACTCAGTATAATAT